CCAGTTGTTTAAGAGGTCATATAAATTTTCATTTTCTTACACTTTTGCAAATATATATTTTTTATATTTATATTGTACTTAAAATTAACTTTTTGTGTATGTAACAATATTTTGTTTATACAAAGTGCTAGTGCAGAATAGTAGTTTGTACTTAGACTAGGTTAGACTAATGCTTAGGTTTCAAATTTGCTGTATAATGTCATGAACAACTGATATTTCCATTTTTCTTACAAAGAACAGAAAAATTATGAGTTTGGATCAGATTCTACTGCAGGTAACTGACTTCCATGTAACAATTACAGCTAAATTGAGTACTGCTTCTTTAAATGATGCTGTTAGCAGAGTGGTTTTCCCCGGCCGCCTCTCCAGTCTAAGTGCACACAGCTATTTTCATTCTGACAACAACGGGCTGTAGGCAGATGGGCCTTTTAATCCCACCTTCGTGTTTGGCTAATTTGTGATATATTTATCCATTTTCCATTAATATCATTGTTTCCTTCGACCCAGGTCTCGGTGGACAGAGGCAGTTTCCCATGCATTTTCAGTATGTGCCATTATCTGCAGTGATGGAGTAGATCCCTGACTACTGCAGCTCATTAAAACAGAGCTCCTCGTCTCTGTGCACACCCCCTTTCCTCTTCGCTCTTCATCCTGTTTGCTTTAAAAGGCTCCTCCAGGATTCCTCTATTAGGTTTGCTCCAGGATTAGCCCGGACTCACGCTCCTTTATTTTAACATGACGTAATCTGCTCACAACACAGAGGTTGCAAAAGAGGGCAGTTTCATACATTTGCAAAACCAGGATTTAAATTTTTATTTCTATATTATTAGCATTGATGAGAAGGTTGCAATAATATTGAAAGTATACAAAACAGCAGTAGTTAATGTCAAAAGAGATAGGTGAACAAGATGCTAAAGCTTAAAGATGTTAAAGATTAAAGACTGAAGCGATAGTGGTTCAGGTGGTAGAGCAGTCATTGTGAACCAGCGTAATAGTTGTTGTGTCCCTGGGAAAGATCGTGTACCCAGCTTGCTTAAAAGTCCTATATTACACAAAATTGACTCTTTAAGCTTTAAAGGTGCACCGTGTAACTTTCTGCAGAGGGTCAACCTGTTTGTCTTCATGGAGATGGTATTGTTTTGGTTTATATTGTCCAGAGTATGGTATTAAACTAATCTGTCTTGCATTTATTCAACTAATTGCTTAAAAACGTGAATTCTTACTCCAAATGGGCTCGTCTGTCCACAAATCTAACCTGTAATTTGACTTGCAAGTCTCCATGTATATTGATACGTTTACAACCATACTGTGGAACATTCTAGGCACATCTCCATGGAGACAAGCAGGTGACAGGCCGTTCACCAGAAATGTTACACAGAGCATCTTTAAGCCATGTTAGAACATCGTTACCTCCTCAAAAATGTATTCAGAGCCGTGTTTTGTTTCATTCACACATGTTTGAGCTTTGTAGATGTAAACAGACTAATAATAAAGGGTTACTCAAAGTGCTCTGTTCCACGTTTTCAAGTTAACAGCTACACTCTGCTTTCATTTTAGGGCTGAAATGATCCACATGATTCTAGTGAAAGTGTATGAAGTTTTCACAAAGGAGCACTTCCTGTATGTATATGTGGGGTCGGTGTGCTAACCATGAGTGAATGAAACAAAACTCCAGGCATGTTTGTGAAAACAACATTATAACATAGATCAGAAAATAGTGCAAAATCAGTCCTTTACATCACATTTGATGAGTGAGTGAGTGGTGGCTGGAGAGATGGCTCTCACAGACTGGCAACCGTGTTTTAATAAGAATAGGCAATACTGGAATGTTTTACCACTGCAAGAGTAAAAAGTTCCAGTCATATAGGGCTGTGTAATGAATCAAATTTGAATTGTATTGTGATAAAATTGTTTTTGGATCGCAATAATTATGTAAGCAGGGATGTGGTTTGGAGCAGTTTTTAACAGATTTATAAAGCGTATATTTGATTTTAGTTTTAAATGAAATAAAATATGTGATATAAACACAAGGAAATTCACAAGTCAGACTTTTAACACTTTTTACAAAATGTTACTAGGTTCTTTTTTCAGACCATAGGTTTGTTTTCATACCTGACAGTTTTACAAAATGCAAAATACATGCTGTCCGTGAAAACGCATGACACAAGTATTATATAAAGCACGAAGTCAGACTAAAAATATTTCTACACTTTCCACTATACCCAAACTATTTACTAAACTTCAGGTGAGATTTGCTCTAAAGGTGTCCTCCCTTAAGGTTTGCTTAGCTCCACACTGAATTGGTTTTGGATTTGAGCCCGGTATTAACAAGCCACAAGACAGCAGCACTCGCAGATATGGAGCAGGACACAGCGTCTCTCTCCCCCGAAACCTACCGAGACCAGGCCTGTCCTAGTTTCCACAGTAAAAAGGACAATGTAACAGAGAAATCCAACCTAAACTCTTACTGAACAAGACAAGACAAAACAGTATGTGGATTATAGTGTAATTAGACTGGCTCAAATTTAATCCATGGAAATATGGATTATTTGTGTTTGGGCTTTCTCCAAATCCACAGCAGATAATGATGTTTGTGTCTTGTCTCGGATGTCTTTTTCACCTCAATTTTCCAGTGTGGATCCGTTTATCCATTCTGGGAAGTTAGTAATCCAAGGTACTTTTCAGACAACTAAATTCAGTATTGGTTTCCCCATCAATGACAAACTAGTACTATATAGACTAATAATCCACCTGTTAGTTCTACTGCTACTATTACTACTACTAATGCTACTGATAGTACTGCTACTGCATTAATCATAATGATTACAACTACCAATTATTTCAAGGTATTAAGAAGGAATATATTATATACAGAGTAAGGAATTCGATCTAAAAGGCTACTTGTTTTGATCTTTTATATACTTCTTAAACTAACTTTCAGCTAGTACAAATGTTACACATCTTATGATAAAGAGTTTTTAGTTGAAATACATTGTAATGTCAATTTCATTAAATGTAACTTATAACTGTATTTTTCCATATAGCATTTCCTATTTAAACATGATGTGTGTGTCTGTATTTATGAAAGCAGCTCATCATTTCACATAGAAATATTAATATGTATTGTTTGATTAAAGACTACCGCATTTCAAATGAAGGTTACCGGGTATAAGGCCCCTTGAGGGTTTTTGGAAACCATCTATCACATTCTATTGTATAATGTATTCTATAGTGTATTTTTTCTATAGTGTAAGTGAAAATAAATAAATCAAATAAAGGGGATGGGAGGATCAAAATATTTGTACAAAAGACTGTAGAGGGATTTAGCCATTTCTCCACTCCAACTGTCTTGTTTATCTTATCAGGTCAGGAAAAACACTCCTTTTGCTTAAATATCCTTGAGTATTTGTGTATAGTGACCTTTTAAAGGTACGTTTCTGACTTTAGGTGTCTGCCCCTGATATGTCCCTTGTTTTTCCTCCTTTGTTTCTCATCGATGCCCTTGTCCAGATATTTATTTGACTCCTTTAACCCATTGACCCCGCATGAGGCTGTTTTGGCCTGTGTGAAGCCTTCCTCTTGTTTTTCGGTTCCATTCACAACCCTGCTTTGCATACTAATGCCCACAGTGCCTTGTTTTGGATAAGCCCCACTGGAGGCTAGCGGCTGATCCCCCTAGCAAGATCGCACCATTAGCATCCCATACCAGCAACATGCAATTAGACTGTGCCACCACACAACTGGGGCACGGCAATTTTGAGGTAGAAAGAAGACACTTTTTTATCAATTACAGCTTCAAAGCAAGTGACAGTACTTTCAAATCTTAAGAACTGAAGGAGGATTTTTTTGTAGTGACATTTATAAAGTTCAACTTCTTTTTTTAATACAATAGAAGCAAGATTTTACTTATTATGAGTTAGCCAACTTTTCAATGTCACTAAAAGTAGAAAGTGTTGGGAAGGAAAATTATAAATGAAAGAAGTATCACCACTGAAGATGTACAATGGCTATACAAGAATGCTAGACATGGTTATAAAAAGGGCATGATTGAAAAGGCCATGTACATGTGTTTAAAATATGTGCAAATTTTCATGTTATGTTATGTTCAGATTATGAAACTCAGAACACACTTTGTGCTTGAGCCTGCTATATTTTTATAAGATATGACGAAAACGACATGGATCATTATCTTATAATTTTAAATAGCCAAATTAATCTAAAATGACTAACAGAAATGTTGCAGTAAACGTCATCACAACAGAGAGAGAGAGCCAGAAAATACAATGGATAGCTGCAATTCACATTAGTGAGTAGTGGATTTTTTTTTCATTTGTAAAATAAATTACTATACACTGCTGCCAAATCCTACGAGTATCAATGATTAAGAAAATAAAATTGGAAAACTAAGTAATTAAGTAGAGAGCAATTGGCTGATGGTGGTGAACATGGAGGGTGATTGGCAATATGGCATCTTGAAAATAAGTGATCACAGATTGCTCAAACATGCACAAATCACTCCACATACAGTACTGAGAGTGTAAATGAGAAAGGAAAACAACTATAACATGGTTAAAAGCTCTGGAAAGTCAATTTTGCATAACAAGTCTGCTTTAATATAGTTTGGTTTGTACTACTTCTTATATTTGAAATACATGAAAAGAGCGAGAATCAATTTGTGATAACCTTGAGCGAATAAGAGGTTGAACGTGATGCAACCAAAGTTTCAGCCAACAGCATTTTAACAGTGAACACCTCTTAATGCCAACAGTAGCCACCCAAAATCTCTCAAGAGAATAACAAGATGGATGAAAGACGCGAAAGCACTGATCTATAACCAAGCACCTCACATACCACAAAACCAGATTTAGTGTTTGGTGAAAGGCACAAATCAATGCTGCGATATGTGGCAAGGTTACAAATGATCCGTGCTTATGACTGGAACAAAAAGAGAAAGAGAGAAAAAAAAAATACTGCTGGCGATTTCAGGACGGGACACTCACCTCCTTGTTTACTCCTGTCCAGATAGATGGACACCCTTCTGGCCAGACCTGTGAGCGGGGTGGGGGTAAGGTGGGGTGGGGGGCAAAAGGTAAGCCACATATTAGCCAAGGCCCAAGTAGCGGACATCACAGAGACACAACACAACGGGGTGAACAAGGCAGACAGTTACTAAATCAACTTAGCATTCAATGTATGAAAGCTGGATACATATTTTTTGGGGGGGGTCAGTATTTATCATGTTCACTTTTTCTTTGTACTCATGGGGAATCTTTGGTTATTTTTGGCTATAGGATAAGATTTAAGCCATAAAAGTTTGAATTAATAACTTCTATGACTCATTATAGATAATAACTAACTACAAAAGTGTTTCATTCTGCTGTTTATTTATTGCAGCTCATGAGGCTTTAACAATATTGTAGATTTAGACTATTTTTGTGGTTTAAATCTGCTCTTGGGTTATTGTTTCAGTGGCATAAATTGGTTTTATTGCCATTGTGTATTGTCTATATTTACTTCAGCAATATATAACGTTTATTTATATGTACATCAACTATTTTGAATTGGAGCTTTTGAATGAACATCGCAGCTGACTTGGTTGTATATTTTTACAACACATAATATAATACACATCTGGTAATACATTTTATGGTTGCTCATTTTAAATCTTGACTATTTCAACAGGCATTCATTGCAGTATCATCTTGTCAGTCTAAAACCTTGGCCCCACAAATCTGTAGTCTAATAGAGAACCCATATCCTCAAATTCTCCTCTCTCCAAAGGGCAAAAGGATGAAGGAGAAGAACGATTGCACAACCGCACAGGACTGGTTCAGAAGTTTTTCCAAGTGATTTTAAAGTATCAGAAAACTAAGTATTTCATAAGATTAATTTTGAATGCAGCAACAAATGCCCTGAAACAAACATGAATCATTTCTGATCAGCACTGAGCAACCGAGTGTGAACTCTACAAGGCTGTGGTGAGGGACTGTCTGGCATGTTAAATATCAAGGCTTATGTCACCAAGGAGCTTCAGCCAATTACAGCGCAGGATTCAGCATTAGATGAAAGACCAGAGGAATAATTACGGTAATAAAACTGCATCGTCACTTAGTTCAACTTGTGCTAAACGATTATTAAAGTGACATTCAATCATTTTAATCATGTACAGACTGGATAACAAATCAAATGCTAGTGTCATAAATAAACTACTTTACAGTTATCAGGATCTAGTTTATATCTCGCTGTATACTCACGCTTAGAACCAGTATTTTGTTTTATATTTTATTTCTGTCTACTTACAGTCAAATTATTATAGTTATTATTTGTTTGTTTTTTGTTTTTTTTCTTTTACTGATTTTCATGTGAACTAATGTGCAGCACTTTATAAAATTGTGTATGTTTATAAAATGTGCTTTAGATATAATGTAGACTTAAAGTTTGGATTCTTTTATTGATAAGCTTGAGGTATACAGTGGGCAATGGAGATAAAAACGTTATTGTAAAGGTGTTATGCTACTGTGAAATTTAGAATTACAAATATTAATTCTCAGCAGATTGGTTAATACAATGCAAAATATCTAAAGGCATATTCAAATAGGACTTCAAAATACCTCAAAAATATTTGAAATGAAGCCATTTTGTGTCACATTCAATTGATTTGGATGTTACAAAGAATACTGTGTGATGCCTTGTTCAGCCCTTTGAGGTGGGAAACAACACAAGATAAAAAAAAAAGCATAAACCAGCAACATAAAATGCATGACACATAAGAACATAAGAGACTCTACAGTTATGGTTTACAACAATGTGTTACTGACAGACACGGGGAGAGGAAGCAGGGATGGGGATGTCTCTCTCATTCTGGTTGGAAAGGTACTCTTGGCAATAGAAAGGAGTTGTGTGTAATATTTCATTGAGTACGGTACATTATTAATGCAGCAGAGGCTATGCTAGCAGTGGAAAATATTCAAAACACAAGCCTATAATATTACACCATGAGAGATTCAGTAAACACATTATGTTACAAGAGGCAAAACAAAACAATGATTTGACTTGTGCTAAACTATTTCCATATTATTAGGAGACAATGAGAAAAGCTTAATGTTTGGAAGATAACATAAAAATTGCACTTATAATCAGCATAGTGCATAAACCGTCACTTTTACCATTGTTCATTAGTTAAAGGTTCTATAAAGGTTTCTACACAAAACTGACTCTCGTAAGCTTGAAGACATATTATAATGCAGTTACCTCACCAAAAACCTACCTAGTTGTGTTTTTATTTCATTCACACATGCTTGAGGAATGCTTTATTATTACTTTAAATCTCCAAAAGCTCAAAGTGCTCTGTTCCACCTTGCGATGTCGTGTAGTGGTAGTTTTCAAGTTAACAGCTCCTTTTAACCTTTAGTTCAGTAGATACGGACAATTCCAGGGCAGAAATTATCCAAATAATTCTAGTGAAGGTGTGCGGAGTTTAAAAACACAGTGGAACACTTCCTGTACAGTGGAACACTTCCTGTATTACCACGTGACGTGTGTTTTCTTTTTGAGAGAAGAACACAGCCTAAATATGCAGGGTTTGCGTGTTAAATGTGTGAATGAAACAAAACACAACTCCAGGTATGTTTGTGATGAGAAAACAAAACAAAAATAAAATAATAAAGTAGTGTAATGTCAGTCCTTTAAATATTACTTATTAATATGAATGAGACTGAACGTTAAATTTATTCCAGCATGCACCGCTATTCTACACATTACCCCTAATTATCCACTGATTGATATTGTGACATTATTGAATTTCGCCTTATGTTAAAGTACCCAGACCATTTACTACAAACTGTCCGCTGAGCTCCAGAGTGAAACTTCTCCCTGCACAGATGCCACTAATATTAAACCTGATGTGTCCAATGAGGTCTGAAAGCAGCACCTACACAACAGCTGTCACTGGCAATACATCCAGAAGGATAACAAGCACCCCCATTACATGTTTAAAGTCTGCCTCAAAACGGGCCCTGAAGTGGGGAAGTCCAGAGAGAGGACCAGGGTGTCAGGGCCGATAGACAGTGGTGCTAGTTAGACTGTATATTGTGTGTATCCATAGTAACGCAGTAGTGCTCTTGTAAAGATCTATTTGACAATGCGCATACTGCTTCGTACATGTCACTCCGATCCTGTCACTCGTGCTGACATCTTGGGATTTCGTTGCTTCCAATTACCCAAATCCGAATGACATTTTACATACTACAGCAGAGATAGTCAAACTTTATATGCAAGTTATAAATAGATCAGGATTTTCAAGTGTTAATAATTTAGCAATAAATCAAAACTGACTAGGACATAGCAGGATACATGGGCAGTAAATAATTTAACTTGAACTTCAAGAAACAAACGTCTCTCAAGATTAAGGGTGTGTTTATACTTGTCCTTATTTTCTCCTTTTAGCCCAGTTAAAGTCCAAATTTTGTCTTGGTCCTGTCCTAGTCCTGGTTTAGTGCCAGTCTAGTACAGGTTTTGTTATAGTTATATATTTTTTGTCCCTGTTTAGACCTAATTTGAAATTCATCGCTAGATAAAAAAGTTAAACATAAAATAAATTGATAACTACACTTTACACTTTACTTTTACATACTATGCTATACCACTTATTCACCCCTCAGATTTTACTAAAAATCTTGCTTAGTTTTTGTACTTTTCTAATTTTGGTGAAGTTTATAATTGAACACAAGCAGCAGATGTGACAAACATAAGGGTAATTCCAGAGCTGTTACCTAGCAACCATAATATTAACAAGATCTACAACATGTCTAAATTTTAAAACATCGATAAAAAATTTAACTGCAAGAAAGTGTCCTTGTGAGTAAATTGTCCCTTGATTAGTCCATAGAGGTAGTAATTTTACTTGTAAATTATCCTTTTTTTTCTTGATTGATTTAAAACTATGATAAACATTGACCACAGGTACTAATTCACCACACAAGTGATAATTAAAAAAACATGAAAACTTGTCATAAGCACTTTAAAATACTTGAAGCTAACCAGGCACTTTGACTCCATGCCAATACCTGACAAAGTGCTAATGCCTCTCAAGTCCTTAACAGTTATTTATGTTGGCCAACTGCACCCTATCAAGAATTCAGGCAGTATACACCAATTCGTCCGCCTGTCACACTTCCCCAAAAAGTAGCCTGACCCAGAAAGAGTGGCTGTAAAAGTGCCGGAGGCAGAGAGGAAGTGGAGCAGGTGAGAGGAGGACCTGCCACAACACTGCAGCATAGAGCTCTGTGACAAGTGTGTACTCCAAGTGTCAGCCAGCCCTCAAAATGTGCACAACGACTGAAATATGAGCAACTGGCAACACACAAGTATGCCAACAAACCTTATGGGACTTAATGTGTGTTTTTGTTAAATTCATTAATATGATAACATTGTATTGACAGGGCAGGTCTTGTTTCTGTGGCAATTCATCCGTTTGTGGATAGTAGGGCAGAAAATATATAAAAAAAAATAATAATAAAAAAATGAAATTGAGACGATAACTGAGGAATGAAACTGATGTTTAAAGGATTCATTTAAAAAGAGTTCCATAAGTTAAAGGTGCACTATGTAACGTTGTCTGGAATGTTCCATAGTATGGCATTAAACTTATCTACCCCCATGGAGACAAGCCGGTGACATCACCAGGACAAGTTATGAAGAGGCAACCCAGCTCACAGTGAGAATGAATGGCATTTTTCTGCAGATTTTTTTTGACATACTGTGGAATATAATTATATTATATAATAAGTTCAGACACAGAAAAGTTGCATAGTGCACCTTTAAATTACTGACAGTTTGAACTCGGCTTCACTACAGTATAGCAATGACTGGCATTAAAACTCAAATAATTTACACATGATAGTTTGTTTCTGCTCAGAGAATTTGTTTTAAGTTTTGATTTTATGTAGGGCCTTCAAAAATCAGTGCAAGTGAGAAAAAAAAAATAACGTGATGTGTTCACCAATTAAGTCGCATGGGGGCCTCAACTGTGACAGAAATCTGGTGTCAAGATGCAAAAGTGTCATCGACAGTCATATTAGGAGGAAGGTTTATGTATTAATTGATTGCACCCAATAAAAGATAATAAAATAAAAAAAAAACGGGTAAAAATATGTGGTTCAAATGGTCCCTTATATTTAGTTACAAACTGCTCCTCTATCTACAGCAACTTTTTACCAGAAAATCTTACTAATTCAATAAAATAAAATGGAAGTATTAAAAAGCAAATTTGCTAATTACCTTTACTATATATAAGGTTTTGAAAGTGAATTGTTGTGGGTGAGGGCAGGATGTAGGGACAGGACCACGATGGAGACTAAATACACTACAGGAGTACAGATGGGTGTGATAATAGTAGAAGTAGCTCTGGTCTTTACTGTGGGCGCCGGCAGAAGGCTGACCTCTGGTGGTGGGCAGCATGTCCGACAGCCCCTGCCACGCGGTCACCATCTCTGGGTTCTTCTGGTCAGCGAAGTTTTTCCAGATCCGCAATGCACCGTCATCTGAGGAAAATGACAACATATAGTGAGATTAGTGCTAGATTATAATGTAAAATCCTGAGATAAGAATAACAGTGCATTTTATTGTTGAAAAATGGCAATGTGGTGCCATTTAAATTTGACCTGGAGTCTGGATTTTAGGAATAAGTAAGTACAGACCAGTGGGTGGAGATAGGGGGGTAGGTGAATACTGAAATCTCCCTAACACTCAAGCCTTAAATGCAAAAAAATACAGAATGACTCGAACATGCACGAATCAATCAACTGAAATACAACTCAGAGAAAGCGAATAATGAGAAAACATCACAACATAAAAGTTGATTTTGCATGTGTCTCCCTTAAGATGTGCTTACATTACAGTATTAATTGTTTGGACAAAACTAAACAAATGTGCTTGGATTGTTTACCTGTGTTAGGAGGACAGAGGCATGCAGGGTAACAGCTATATTCAGATGATAAATGGTGCTGAATTCACATGAGCCCTCTGTACCATATTGAGGTTGGGAAAGTCAAGTATTTAAAGCTGGTTGCCGCTACAAATGAGTCGCATTGAGAGTTGAGATTTAGCTGGTGGGCATGAACATTCGGGGAGGTTATGCAGGAAGTGAGTAAGTACTAAAACAGTTTTGGGAAATTGCTGTGTTGTTTTTTAGTGTGAAAAGATGTGCAGTCATTTGCAGGTGGTGCCCACAAAATAGAGACAAGAGTGTGAACTAAAACAAAGGAACTGAGGGGGATCAACAAGACACAAATGGAAATATTTCTACTACATTAAAGAGAAACTGTATGCGAGGAAACACTAGTTAATCTAATAATGATGAATAAAATTGAATTAGATTGTATCTAGAGATTAAAAATTTTAAAATTTGGTGCATTGTTCATTCACTATTTCGCTGCACACAATGTGGATATGATTCTGGACAAAGATCTGCTGACTTAAAGGTGCACTGTGTAACTTTTCTGATAGGAGGTCCACCACAAGCTTGTTTCCATGGAGATATTTATTGTTTTGCCTGAAAGTTTCACAGTATGGCATTAAACTCATCTATTTTGCATTTATTCAATTATAGGTGTTTTACTGTTCATGAATTCCTATGCATTCCTATAGTGAGTGAACTGACCACACCACAGATCTGACTTGTAACTTGGGCTAGGGCAGAGGTGGGCAAACTTTCTGGCTCACGGGCCACATAGGGTCCTAAAGTTTGACTGAAGGGCCGGACAGAAGACAGGACATAACATGTTAAGAGCTCAGATTCATTACATTCTTATTCACATTTATCTAGGACTTCAGACGTGCACTACACATTTCATCACTACTGTGAAAGATTCAGAACACATGAAACTGTTGAGACCTGCTCCACTGCACACCACGAGTGAATGTATATCGTGAGTTCACTGTTTTTGAATATGACTGGTAACAGCTGAAGAACAAAGCTCACACCATACAATCATAGACATACACCTGTGAGTGAGTTGTAGTTGTCAATGTGTACAACATTTTAGAGGCAGGTTTTATCACAGAGACCATACGTTTCCTTGATTGATTTTTACCAACTCAAAACGGAAGCAGTGCAGTCTTATATCTTAAGCACCAACTACTTCACTCATGGTCCAAATAACTCCTGTAAAAACACTTTCCCATAAAGCATTGCAGCTAACATAATACGCCGCAACTCAATGTATATATAGTGCGCCATCTACTGGGAAACGCTGGAAATGCATGACAAATAAAACATCAACAAGGTTTATTATTGTAATTTATTCCAGTTCGGCGGGCCGGATTAAAAGGTTTAAAGGGCCGCATACGGCCCCCGGGCCGTAGTTTGCCCACCCCTGGGCTAGGGGCATTGTGGGTTTCTCTCTGTAGAAATAGATATGTTTAATGTCATACTGTAGAATATTCTAGACAGTTGTGCCATAAATTATTTAGATACATTTATAGCAGGTTTAGGGACAATAAATTAACCAGTGTCATTTTAAGCCGGTCTCGTTTAGTCAATATTACCCACAATTTTAGAGCAGATTTGTGGATTACCTGTTGCCGTTAACAACAGTGAACAGTCGTGTCCATTGAGATACTCCATGGCCGTGATCCGTGTGTACCGAGGATTTCCATTGTAGAAATAGTCCAACCTCTCGCCCTTCTCCCAGTCCCAAAAACTGCAAAGAGATATTGAGTTTTTAAAATGGATGCATGGTTATGACTACACCTTTATAAAACATTAACAGATAAAAATAATGCACAAATTGTTTATTAACAGTGATTCAGGCTTAGTAACTATTTAATTAAGGTGATAGGGATAAGAGATGGGGTTACTGTAATAGTCTTATTTATTATTATTAACAATCCAGATGTCAGCAACATTTCAGAAATTATGACATACTTAAGTTTCCTAAAATAAGTTGCATAAAATCAGATTTATTTCTAAAAACATCTGGGTTGGCTTCATCTATTTTAGGACTGGATAAAATATGTAATGCCATAATTATATCAGAAATGCTAACACATTTATTAAGTTGTGAATAAATACACTTTTTGATTGTAAAGAACTTTGATTTCTTTTACAGTTAGCTTTATAGCTGTTTTTAAAGGTCCAATATTTGACCAAAATTGACTCTTGTGAGCTTTAAGATGTGTTAAAATGTTGTTATCTCATCAAAAACATGTTTGTGTAACCCTTTAAGATTAGTCTGTCTGCATCTCCAAAGCTTAAAATGTGATGTCATGAAGCGATACTTATAGTTTAAGTTAACAGTTACCTTTTACCTTTTGTTCAGTAGAGACTGGAAATTCCAGAGCGAAAATTATCAATTAGATTTTTGTGACGGTGTATGGTGTTTAAAGCAAAGTGGAGTGCTTTCTGTATTACCACATGACATGACAAGGTGTAACAGAATTTTTTTCTGTTTGAGAAAAGAAAAGCCGGATGTGTGTGCACTTTCTCAACAGAGTTTCCTGTTTGAGAGAAGAACTCAGCCTCTACATGTATGAATAAAACAACAGAATTCCAGTTATGTTTATGATGAAGAAACATCATTATAACATAAGTCAGAAAATTGCGTAATATGGGCTGCATGAGACAAAAAAGCATTTTTTTCTCTTAAAACCAAATAACCCAAGCAGCTGAGAGATTAGTGACAGACCAGATGCTGTCCTTGTCGGCCACGGCGATGCAGGTGTTGAAGGGGTGGAACTTGACCACAGACGGGACGCCGGGGTTTCGGTTGATGAATATTTGATCATCCAGACGAGCAATACCTGCCACAGAGAGACCAAGGACACACATAAGGGACTGACGCAGAAACATGGAGTACAAAAGCACATGAAAAAACTATACATGGCTATTTCTTTTCAAGGGATTTGAAGAATGACACTTTGGTTTGTACTGTTTCTCATCTTAGACTTAGGGATGGGTGATATGGTATTTCTTGATTTTTTTTATTTTATTTTTTTTTAGATTATCAATACATTATTCTAACAAAGTATCCGGAATGTGCTCAAAGTTTCCTGTAAATATCTTGATTGTGGTTCAAGTATTGGCCAAAACATGAATGGACCATAAAATTGAACACAAAATGGCAAAATAATCACTTTATATCCTTGTTTAGAAGGTGACACCAGACTTTTTTGTCTCTTTTTGGGGTCATTTTTAATGGCTAAACTCAATACTGTAATTTGCATATCTTATGATATATCTCCCACCTCTGCACTGCTTTGTTTTAAAACTACCATAAATCATTGTACAAATTGCATTATTATGTAATGAACCCAGGAAGACTACTTGATTACCATAGTAGAAGCTAATGGGAATTCATAAAAACAAATCTTTATGCTAATTCTTTGCCAATGATCCATGGAAATTAATGAAGAAAACAACTATAAAATCAACTTTTAACCATTTTTAAAGGCTTTTCACATCTAGCCCATACTGTGAGGGAGTTAAATTTCAAATTTCAAAGTATTGATGTTTTGTCTAAGTATATTTATTAGATTTACAATTTATGTTTAAAAAGTAGGATATTGTTCAGAGTGCTCAGCTCAAACACAACTCAATGCAGTACCATTTGAGAACAAAGGCTAAGACTAACTTTCTTTTTTTTAACTTTTATTTTCTGATCAAACTTTGTGTTTTAGAGAAAAAAGTGACTTCACAAGTAAAGATATATATGTAGAAGGAGGGAAGAATAAATAAAATAGTTGATAAAGATGAGCATAATTTTACACTATATACACAATAGTCACCACTCTGCTTCATAATGCAATTCTAAGAACAGAGTTGCAATGCCTGAGTGAGTTTGTGACAAATTAAAAATTAGAGCATTCCAACTAACAACAATGTACAAGTACATAGTGAAGAGGTCTAAAAACGGTCTCTATTTTTCTGTATGTTGCCATGGAAACTGCACGTGCTTGCTTCCCCAGCCTGTCCTTGGTGTCTACCTGAACATACTCTGAAGAGGGTGATAATTGCAAGAATAAGGCAAAGAAATCTATCACAATTCATCACATATGCAGTGGTAGAGCTGGTTACAGGGGAAAAATAGTACAGTGAAAGATTTTGGTTAAAACAGGTTCATAAACATTGATTCCTTTGTTTGTGCTATGGGCAAGTACGATGCACCGACCAGAAACAAGCCTCCAGATTTTGGCGAAGTATGAATTTTGCATCAGAACAAAAGAAAGAAGTCAAACAAGACTGTCGGCAATACTGTGTAATTACAGAATAGCATGAATTATAGATACGGTTTTCACTGGTTTCCATAGTTCAAATCCATTAAAAGGTGGATTTATGTCATTGTGCAAGGGCATATATTTCTCTTATGAATGTGCACTTCATCATTTTTTATCAAATGTCCTATGTTACACAAAATGGAGCTTATGAGCTTTATACCATGTTAGAATGCTATTACCTGCTCAAAAAAAAAAAAAAAAAGAGTTACACACATTTGAGTTATCCTTTATTATTAGTCTGTCTACGCCTCCAAAGCTCAAAATGTTCTGTTCCTCCTTGTGATGTCATATTGTGGTAGTTTTCAAGTGAACAGTTACTTTTTACCTTTAGTTCAGTCGAGAATAACAATTCCAGGGCTGAAATGATCCAAATGCTTCTAGCAAAGGTGTATAGAGTTTAAAAATACAGTGGAGCACTTTTTTTTAGAAGAACTAAATATGACGGGTCTGTGTGCTAAACATGTGTGAATAAAACAAAACATAACTCCAGGTACATTTTTTATGTGAAAAAAGGTGCACTACTATATAATTTTTTTGGTGGACAGTCTGTTACCTGATCTTTAGATGTTGTTGCTTTGTCTGGGATGCTCCATAATATGGCATTACACTGATCCTCATTGCATTTATTAAATTATAGTTTTTTTTATTGCTAAAAACCCTGAAAGGCAATAACGCAAAGCTATCTCTATGGAAACAAGCAGGTGTTGGACACTCCATCAAAAAGTTACAGAATGTAGCATCAAGGATTGAGGCAATATATAGTAGGTACTTACTACTACTAAAAGAAGTTTGACAACAATAAATTCTGTGTTAACCTTCTTGCCTCTTTCAGATGAAATTGTGAGCACAAACAATTTCTTATAGTTCAAGTGTAATAAGTAGTTTTAATCAGTGTGCAAATGTTTTGAAAGGGCCAGTAATGATATATTATACCAATATTTATCTAAAACCATGCTGAAATATTTTGACAGTTGAATTTTGTATCTAAGGTAACATATTTGTCAGTTTGAATGCTGCTCTCGACATAACAAAACATTGGTTGAGTGGCCAGACCCACAGGCTCACAATTTGGCAGTTCATTTCCAGCTCAGGCAGATGAATACTGTTGTTATGTCCTTGGGCAAGACACTTAACCAACCTAACACGCCTCTATTGTCTGCGTACACTGGTGTATAAATGTGTGTGTGAATGGATGAGTGGTTACTTCATGTATAAAGGTCTGAGTGCCTTGAAAGTGGAAATGCATGACTTAAACATGTGACCATTTACTATTATTTAGTGAGAAGGGAAAAGTACATTGGTTACATACTAGATGCTTTGTCTTCTTCAGTAAAAGCTAACTCGTACTACCTTTTAACCTCTTGTTCATTTGCAGTAATTTATGCAGTTGAGACAGGATGATCCCCCTCCTCCTCCTCTCCTCCTGTCATTTTAACTTGTGTGCAAATATATATATTTTTTTCATTGGATAGGGTCAGTAATTATAGCAATATTAATGATAGATCATGCTAAAATATTATAAGTTAATTGTTAATTTGAAAGGAAAATTGGTTTCACACTTTGTCTTCTTAAAGTTGTTAACTAGTATTACCTTTTAGCTTCTTTTTTATTTATACACTGCAGTAATTTATGCAGTTTACACAGCTTCTTCGCCCTCCTCCTCCTCCTCTCGTGTCTTCTCTTCACAGTTAAACAGACTGAATGGGGGCAGCCCTAACACTCACACATAACCGGGAGGATACAGGGGAAATACAGCGAAAAAAAATAAAAGGAACTAGACTGGTGCGTGAGCTGTGACGCCAATCCACTCGATCACGTGTGAGAGGAGGGGGATTCGATGACGTTAGACTGTTAACTATTCTGTTTGAAAAAAGCTTACATAGTGCCTGTAAGACAACTGGGTGTAGCTGGTACCTACGGGTGAATAGATTAACTATGTGAGCAAGTGTCTGATTCATAATAACGGAAGATGTGTTGCCCCAGAGGACATTTTAATCAATAGGATCGCAACAGCAAATCATCGCCAAGTTTGTGTTGAATATATGAATCAAACCCTTTAATATTTTATACTAGCCTTCACCCCTTGTTCACTAGTGCAAAAGAACAATGTTTTTGTACAATATTATAGGAGTAGATGCAATTAATATTGTGTGAAAAAGAGATGGTTGGAGGAGTGCAACCAATTAAACTAATAAGAAAATTGATTTTTGACAAGCGCAGGACATTAATAATATGTGTAGCCCTACAAAACAGTGAGTGAAAATAGAAGTAACAATGAACAGTTATTACACTATAGTAAAAAGAAAAGTTTTAAAAGATACTGAATCAAATAAGATATTTGTTACTTATTTTAGATTTGTTAGAAAATATGGTTACTTTTTTTGACTGCAAAATGTATTTCCTGTTTTCTGACAAACCAAGTTAATCTTATGCAACAGGCTTAATTAAGAAGCATTAAAATAGTAGCATCGTGACAAACATTTATATAAAATAAAGTGTTAAAGATCCTATATTATGCAAAATGTATTCTTGTGAGCTTTAAGCCATGTTGTTGCATCATCAAAAACATATCTGGAGTTATGTTTTGTTTCATTCACACATGAGAAATCCTTTATTAGTAATCTATATCTCCAAAGCTCAAAATGCTCTGTTTCACCTTGTGATGTCATGAAGCAGCAGCTACCTTTTACTTTTTGTTCAGTAGAGATTGGCAGTTCCAGGGCTGAAATTATCCAAATGATTCTTGTGTTGTATGGAGTTTAAAAACACAGTGAAGTATTACCACATAACATCACAAGTGTTTTCCATTTGAGAGAAGAACATAGCAAAGTATGTGTTAAACACCTGTGAATGAAACAAAACACAACTCTAGGCACGTTTTTGAAGAGGAAACAACATTATTACATAGATCAGAAAATAGCATAATACGGACCATTCAGGAAAAAACATTTGACCTCTAGAATAGTCAAAATAGATGTCATGTTCAAAACTGCTCTGTCAAACAAAACACATTTGTAGTCATGTACTAGCTCTGAACACACATCTTAATCAGAAAATGAAAAGGGGCATTTCATTTTAATTCAATTTTTACCTCCGCCAAGGAGGTTATGTTTTTGCCGGCATTTGTCTGTTTGTTTGTTTGTTTGTTTGTCTGTTAGCAACATAACTCAAAAAGTTATGGACCGATTTTGATGAAATTTTCAGGATTTGTTGGAAATGTGAAAAGGAAGAACTGATTTCATTTTGGGGGTGATCCGGAAGAAATCCTGGATTCTGGATCACTTAGAAATTTTAGTTAACATTGTGGTGAATGGGGCCAAAAATTTTGTTTCTCAATATCTCGGTTAATTATTGACCAAACCCCATGAAATTTGACTCAGGGATGGACAATGGGATCCTCTTTCATATTCCAAATTGAAAGATACAAGACAAATATTTATGGAAAACACAATTAATATGAGGGGGACTGTAGTCCTTGGCGGAGGTCTGCGCTCTCTGAGTGCTTTTCTAGTTTATTATGTTCTTCTCTTGAGTGACATCTTTAGATATTTAGATACACAATAATTTAAGTTAAGCCCCAATATTGCCATCAATAAATAAACTAGTGAGATTTTATGACCCAGATATTTGATCCAACCACATGTTTGATCGTAAAGCAGGTCAAGTATCAAATTTAAGATGACATTTCGATAACCAATTTAGCCAAAATAAGTAAGAAGGTCACAGCTAATTAATTTTTCAATTCCCTTGTGTACGAGCTTGTACAGGTCTAATTTTCATGCTTTACGCCCATTTCTTGATGCTGTTTCTAAGTGTTTGAAAAGATGTGTGAAATGGTGTTGGGGCAGGTACAGTGTGGGGCTTTGTCTTAACATTGGGATTTTGGGATTGGGCATTGGGAAATGTTATGTACAAGTTTTTGCTTTTAAGGTTCTACTTTTAATCAGTTCCTTTGTTTTATTGTATATTTTATGTTATGTGGTATAGTAAATTATGAAAAATGAATTAATATTTCAGTAATTCTTGAGTATTTTTACCTCTCTGAGTGATGTTGCGGCTCTGTCTTCTCACTCTGGTGTTTCTCAGGAACCTCCACTGTCGTTCCATCCTCACCTGACTCTCCAGATCGTGCTCCTCTGGGATCTATTGGTGAAATACAAGTCCATCACAATTTTTTTTTAGATGTGACAGAAGCAATTACAGCATATGAATCACTCCCAAGTAGTGACATGGGCTAAAATCAATGTGTTATAGATTTCTGAACTTTTTCTGTTTTAGTTCAATTTTTTAGTCAGTATTGTAGTTGTTGGAGTCCTTGCAGAGTCCTGGCCATTTATCACTATGTCACCATCCCCATTAGTTGTTTTCCACAATTATTTCTGTACATGAAAGTGTTTAAAACAATACATTATATAAAGCACTGAGCAAGAAATTTTTTTTGGTCATGTTTTCGTAAAAGTATTCTGTTCCCAAATTTCCAGATTAGCTTTCACTTGCTTTAGGATGGTACGCCAGCCCTAAAACACCTAAACTCACAGATACAATCAGATCACAGTCTATAAAAACAAAAATGTATTAACAATGTACTTCTGTACTGGGACCACCAGACTTTAATCTAACACATAGGTTCAGTGAGAGTTCACACTGCAGGAATGTTTATTTATGCATGTGGTGGCTGCTCCATTGGGCTCCTGTATTACTGTTATGTTACTGCATATGAGTGAGGC